GAAGAATATTCTTCAAAACGAGTATTGGATTCTCTGTGTTTGCGCACACATTGACAAGATCATAAAAAATTGTTACGACTGCCGACGGCAACACGCAACTGGACTACAGCCGGAACTTGCGCCCCTACCCACCTTCAGATTTCCGGAAGATAAACCCTTCCCGTTTCAAAAAACAGAATTACATCTCTTTGGACCGTTTGCTTCGAAAACTGCAGGAACCTACAAAAAACTTGTTATAATGCCTTGCAGAACAATACGAGCCGTACATCTTGAGATGTGCCAGGTCCAATCAGCCGACGCCTTCACCAAAACCTCAAGGCGATTCTTCGCACGCAGAGGACAGCCAGCCAAAATTGTTTCTGACAACGAACAAAGTTCACCACAGCCGAAAAAGAACTCAACAGACACTTCGACGCCGATGTTACACGATAATTCTACGCCAACCATCAGATTGAATGGACCTCCAACTTTGCATGTGCTCCTCATTTCGGAGGCGTATGGGAACGACTCATAAGATCAGTCGAAGACTCGTTTTATGCCATCATAGGAAGCCAGATTCTAACAGACGACATATTCAACACCATTCTTTGCGAAGTTCAACACTTCATGAATGCCAGACCCATCACTACAGTTTCATCATCTCCCGATGATGTTGAAGCCCTCACTGCAAATCATTTTCTTCTTGGCAGAGCATACGCCAGCATGCCACCTCTACAAATTCAACAGCCCTCAAGACTCAGTCGACAATGTAATTTCGCACACAAATCGCAACCCATATTTGGAAACGCTTGTTGAAGGAGTTTATCCTAACACTACTGCCAAGACAACGATGGTCAAAGAAGACGCCGGTTATCAAAATAGGAGAAAATGTCTGAATTCTTCAGGATATGACGCCACGAGGAATCTGGCCATTTAGGTGCTTTTTGGAAAGGTTTTAATTTTTTGGACTTAGTGGCTTTTGCATTTTCTATCTGATAGCTTGCAATGCTGTATCTGTGTGTTATCGCAATTAATGAGATGCTCTGCGTCGTCTTTGTTTTTGAGTTTTTTCACCTTGAAGGGTTTCTGCTAAGGTATTTTCTGCTTTGTTACCGCTTGATAAATTTTCTATCGATGATTTTTTACATTCGATTGTTTTGGCCACGTTCTTTGCAATACTAACCTTATTCATTTCGATAGATCCCCCCTTTTGACAATGCAATATCGAGGCAATCCATCTCAAGCGGCAAAGGTTCGGCAAATATCCGGGGCACAAATAATTTTTACAACAAGAAAATTGAAAACATGCTTTCCATCTCTCAAAAATTCCTTTGATCGTGAACTGAGATCCAAAGTGGCGTATAAGCTTACATGTAGTGATGTAACTCCACCTATGTCGGCCAAACAGTCAGAAACTTAGCCACGAGGGTCGATGAACACCTCAAAGAGGACTCTTCAGTAGGGCAACACTTGTGATAGTGTAATAAGGAGTTAGAGTGTAATATTTTTTTATAATAGGATAGAGGTCATTATTTAAATTTGGAAGTTTTTCAGGGTTAAAGCACGTAAGAGGTTTGTAGTGCGCGTAAACGACCTCTAGTCTATTATAAAATGATTGTATTCACAAGTACCAAAATGATAAATCAGTCCCATTTGTAGCTGTTATATGCCAATTTGACAATTGACAACCTTCTCAGATGGCTTCAACTTTTCACATGTAATCAGGAAAACTCCGGGAAAGAATATGAAAACCAGAACTCAGCAAAAACAAAATTGGGGAAAATGCAAAACAGAATTACCACACATGTGCGACCAACTAATTTATAATCAAATCATTGTTTAAAGCAAGAAAATGCCCAAGTACACCGTTTAAACTAGAAAAATTTATATTTTAGTTTTCTATATGGCACTCAGATAAATTGCCAGAAACCACATCCTTGCTCTACCCCTTGACCAGGCTGGAAGCACAGTTTGTCTTTAGTGCCAACCAAGGAACACGCTCGTTTTGCAGTTGCTTAAGGAAAAAAAATCGGTTTAACAATTCAGAATCCCCATAGCTTAACTTTGGTAAAGGAACGTTAACTTTACGTTTGGTTTATATTATTTTCCGCCTGTTTAAGTATCGGAACGAACTACTATCAAGCATTTGTAACTTTCAATTGCTTATTCTTTTTTTCGTTAACTTAGTTGAAAATTTATTTTTTGCACCATTGTTCTTTTGTTTCGTTCCTTTTAAGTTTGGGTCTAGCTATTTAGGACAACAACTAACAAAGTAGGTCAAAACTTTGACTGGATACGACAACTACAGCAACTGCAACGACAACAACGATCAGCTACGACAAACTAGCCATGAAAAATAAAACCACTCTCTCCTCTCTCCCAGAGAAATCTTCTCATCGCCCCACTAGAGCGCCTCTTCAGACGAGTACAAAAAGCCATCAATGACATTAATACGAACTACAACATAGCTGAATCAGAAACCGAGATGAAGAAAATTCTCAGCAATTTCGAAGACGCCACTACGTACCTTGTAGACCACCCGACTGAGCATGCCACTGCGGAGGATCTCATCAACCGCTTCACTTATATACAAGACAAACACGACGACATCATGGATGAATTTAGACAGATGCTACAAGAAAATACAGCAGAGACAACTACACACAGCAGAACACTAATGCCACGACAGTTCAAGCCCCACACACAGCTGATTCAGTGCAACAACAGCCAATACTATATAGGGACTCTAGCCAGACGTCAACAAAATCCAGCAGCAGCCATCAGCTCGGATCATCAGCTCAGCAAACAGTAGAGGACCAAAACTCCTCAGATAGCCAAGATACCCAGCAGCAAGTCCTCCAGACAGGTTTCGAAATAAACAGACCACCTCTTCAACAAACAGAACATGACACCACCAACGCGAGCCTCAGCCTCAACATAGTTAAAGAACAGCAGTTCATCTCAGCAGCAGATTCTCAGACATCAAGTAACGGACAGTCGCAAACAAACTACAGTCTCATGACTAGACCCCCAAAAGTAAAAATTGAGCCTTTCGACGGAAATCCTATGAAATGGAGCATGTGGTTCGGACTCTTCGAAGCAACAATCCACAATCAACCCATCTCGGACGCCGAAAAGATGACTCATCTGCAGACTTTAACGACTGGAAAATCAAATTATGCTATTTCTGGTTACTCCTGCAATAGCACTATGTACAGCGCTGCCCTCCATGAACTACGACGACGATATGGACGACCCGACATCATCATCAATGACTTCATCAACAGAATACCGAGCTTCAAGCAACAGTCAACTCATCGCAGGGATTCGTACATGGAATTTTCCACATTCATCAGTAACATGGTTGAGACGTTGCAGACGCTTGGGTTCAAAGACGATTTGATCTCTACAATATACATACAATTTGCCGTCAGCAAACTGCAACACCATCAGCAGCTTCAGTGGACACAGTAAATCACCGCCCAGAACATCGACCAGCCTAACCTCATCGCCTTCAACAACTGGATAAAACAGTTTGCATTAGCATGCGATCATTTACCACCAATGCAACCGCAGCAAATGACCCTACTTTTGAGCGATCGACAACAAATAGCGCCAAGACTTCGACACGCCAATTGATCTCGACCATCAACCAACCAGCCTTCACAGAAGACTTCTCAAAACCGGAGTACCAATGCCCGGTCCCCATGTCCCTTCGACGGACAAACTCACCACCCAGCATACTGGAGCAAGTATCAGAATTCAACTTTGGAAGAGAAGAAGAGACTCGTTTCGGAAAAGAAAGTTTGTTACAATTGCCTTGGCCAACATCAAGTGAAAGACTGCCCAATCAAAGCACACATGCAGCAAAAGTAATCAGCAACTCTACACGACGAACAACGAAAACAAAGAACACCAAAGTTTAATCCAAACCAGCGACCGAATCAAGTCAACCATCTTGGCAGCCAAAAGAAGATATCAAGAATCAACAGCTCACTGCTGCTACTGTTACCAGTAACATTACGACACCGCAACATATACCCTAATGTATACGCCTTTTTTGATACAGGAAGTATAAACAGCTAGATATCGCAACCGACAGCAGCATATCTTCAACTGGAGGAAACGAACCATCAGGAACAACTTCTCGTTGGAGGTTTCAGTTCAGTGGATATTACAATTCATTCATTTGGAAATAACACTTTAGCGTTTGAACTAACTAATGTTTTAATCAAAGAGAACCTCAACTTGAATGCAGCAGAGCTCGAAAATTTGAACGAGATCTGCAGCCAATACGACCACCTTAAAGATATATGTTTTCCAGACTTCAACAACAACGACGTAGCCGTCGTGATTGGAACGGACAATGTTGACATCATCAGCCCGATGACCATCATCAAAGGAAATCAAAATGTTCCTCGAGCAGTCCTTACAGCCCTAGGATGGACAATAGCAGGACCGAACAACGACATTGGATACTTCTCACGCCACCAAGCAACATCCACCCCAATACAGATATCAACTGACGACACACAAGTCTCGGATCTTCTCGCTTCATTCTGGTGAATTGAAACCTACGCCACATCACCTGAAATAACGATGAATAACAGCGCTTCAATGAATACAGGGATCTGCTAAACGACAACAAACTTTTGTGGCTCACAGAATTGCACAAAGTTTGGAAAGCACTCAAGCGAGTCAATGGAAACATTGCCCAGGACCCCTAAACCCAGCAGACGACGGAACCCGTGGAATACCCCAATTGGGAATTCAGTAACAAGTCAAGATGGTTCACCGGGCCAAAGTTTAAATGTGAACCAGAATGCAACTGGCCAAAACTACAATTAAATGACGCCAATACGGATACCTTGCAACCCAACGATCGAACTGGACACATGGATGAAATGGCAACAACCCCAGTGCTAGCTTTTCAAGCTTCCGCCGAAAAGACAGTACAAAGTTCCATCGACTACAGCAGATTCTCCTAATTGACAAGAATTCTCCGAACAATCGCATACGTGATGCGTGCCGCCAGGATTTCTAAAGATAAAGGACTACACTCCCGCAACGAAAATCCGATCACCGACCTGACAAGCAACAACATGATTGCCGCAAAGAATTTTATCTTCAAGCAGACGCAACGAGACAGCTTCAACCCAGAGGTCAACGCATTGACGCAAAACAAACCAATCAACACAACTAGCAGACTTCGACATCTGTCACCATTTCTAGACGAAGACGGACTCTTGCGAGCAAGTGGACGCCTCGAGAAGTCTCAATTGGACTATTGCTTAAAACACCCAATTATCCTTGATGGAAACCACCCAGCAGCTCACCTCTTTATACGACAAACCCACAAAGACAACCAGCATTTGCCACGCCAGCACTGAAAAATATTCTTCAAAACGAGTATTGGATTCTCTGTGTTTGCGCACACATTGACAAGATCATAAAAAATTGTTACGACCGCCGACGGCAACACGCAACTGTACTACAACCGGAACTTGCGCCCCTACCCACCTGCAGATTTCCGGAAGATAAACCCTTCAAAACAGGATTACATCTCTTTGGACTGTTTGCTTCGAAAACCGCAGGAACCTACAAAAAACGCTACGGCGTTGTAATGACTTGCATAACAACACGAGCCGTCCGTACATCTTGAGATGTGCAAGGACCAATCAGCCGACGCCATCATCAAAACCTCAAGACGACTCTTCGCACGCAGAGGACAGCCAGCCAAAATTGTTTCTGACACCGGAACAAAGTTCACCGCAGCCGAAAAAGAACTCAGCAGACACTTCGACGCCGATGTTACACGATAATTCTACGCCAACCATCACATTGAATGGACCTCCAACTTTGCATGTGCTCCTCATTTCGGAGGTGTATGGGAACGACTCATAAGATCAGTCGAAGACTCGTTTTATGTCATCATAGGAAGCCAGATTCTAACAGACGACATATTCAACACCATTCTTTGCGAAGTTCAACACTTCATGAATGCAAGACCCATCACTACAGTTTCATCATCTCCCGATAATGTTGAAGCCCTCACCGCAAATCATTTTCTTCTTGGCAGAGCATACGCCAGCATGCCACCTCTACAAATTCAACAACCCTCAAGACTCAGTCGACAATGTAATTTCGCACACAAATCGCAACCCATATTTGGAAACGCTTGTTGAAGGAGTATATCCTAACACTACTGCCAAGACAACGATGGTCAAAGAAGACCCCGCCTATCAAAATAGGAGAAAATGTCTGAATTCTTCAGGATATGACGCCACGAGGAATCTGGCCAATTGGACGGATCACAGAAAACAAACCAACCGATGATGGCCAGACCCGCGTTTACAAGGTCAAAATAAGAGACAAAATTGTGTCAATACCAGCCATTAGACTAGCACCTGTTAGTCCGGTTTATTGCAATCAACCAGCAAACGAAGATTCACGACAACGAGAGCCTCACCCTAAAGCAGCCTTGCGACGGCAACCATAGCCAATAACTTCAACTGACACTTACACGACCGTTAAGCCAGCGTTTTAAGTTTTATAAATAGCAACTACCCCACCACTTTTTTCTTAACTTATTTTGCAACTGCAAAATGAAGTCGAGTGTTATATGCCAATTTGACAATTGACAACCATCTTAGATGACTTCAACTCTTCACATGTAATCAGGAAAACTCCGGGAAAGAAATTGAAAACCAGAACTCAGCAAATAAAAAATTGGGAAAAACGCAAAACTGAATTACTAAACACGTGCAACCAACTAACTTATAATCAAATGAACGTTTAAAGCAAGAAAAAGCTCAATTACACCATGAAAACTAGAAAAGATTACATTTTCGTTTTCTATACTAGCAAAACAAAAACTCAATCGATTTATACCAAAAATGTTTGAGTGACCAAAGACTGCTAAGTCGACTGTTGTAAGCTCTTGATTTATTTTTAGTTTTTTCGGTACACGTTTTTTTTGAGAAAAGTACTAGATGGTAAAAATGTTCTATGTTCGAATCCGTCCAGCACTTGTTTTTTTTAATCGAAAGGGGATTTTTCCGTTTCAAAAACTGTCGTTATTTCTGTTTTTTTTTTCAAATAGCCTATCAAAATAGGAGAAAATGTCTGAATTCTTCAGGATATGACGCCACGAGGAATCTGGCCAATTGGACGGATCACAGAAAACAAACCAACCGATGATGGCCAGACCCGCGTTTACACCGTCAAAATAAGAGACAAAATTGTGTCAATACCAGCCATTAGACTAGCACCTGTTAGTCTGGTTTATTGCAATCAACCAGCAAACGAAGATTCACGACAACGAGAGCCTCACCCTAAAGCAGCCTTGCGACGACAACCATAGGCAATAATTTCAACTGACACTTACACGACCGTTAAGCCAGCGTTTTAAGTTTTATAAATAGCAACTACCCAACCCCTTTTTTCTTAACTTATTTTGCAACTGCAAAATGAGGTCGAGTGTTATATGCCAGTTTGACAATTGACAACCATCTTAGATGACTTCAAATTTTCACATGTAATCAGGAAAACTCCGGGAAAGAAATTGAAAACCAGAACTCAGCAAAAACAAAATTGGCAAAAACGCAAAACTGAATTACTAAACACGTTCAGCCAACTAATTTATAATCAAATCAACGTTTAAAGCAAGAAAAAGCTCAAGTACACCGTGTAAACTAGAAAAGATTAAATTTTCGTTTTCTATAGTAGCAAAACAAAAAATCAATCAATTTATACCAAAAATGTTCGAGTGAACAAAGACTGCTAAGTCGACAGTTGTAAACTCTTGATTTAATTTTAGTTTTTTCGGTACACGTGGTTTTTGAGAAAAGTACTAGATGGTAAATGTCCTATGTTCGAATCCGTCCAGCGCCTGTTTTTTTTTATTCGAAAGGGGATTTTTCCGTTTCAAAAACTGTCGTTATGTCTGTTTTTTTTAATGTTTTTTTTTGGTTTATTTGCCTTGTACCGGATGATTGCTGTGCTGTAAGTATTTTTCTTAGAATTGAAAGAGTTAGGGTATTTTGTAAACTATTCATGTTACTTGTTCCGATCATTGCTATACAAACTATCCTATACAATAGCAACTTAAGTTCTCCCCCATGAAAACCTAACGGCGTACAACTCGTGTCGCCTGATACCTCTGGAAAAAACTCCAGGGGTACGGCCCATTGGTATAAGCGAAGTTCTGAGAAGAATAATTGGCAAAACAATCACCCAAAGTATTAAATCAGACCTTAAAAATCTCGGAAAAAAATTTCCAACTCTGCTTAGGCCAGAAGTGTGGAATCGAATATGCTATACACAGCTTGAGGAACGAGTTTGAAAAACTGAAAACGGACGCCATATTACTTATTCATGCAGAAAATGACTTCACCTCGCTCAAAAGAGAACTTGCTCTAAAAAACGTAGAAATCCTTTGTCCAGCGCTACATCTTGCACTGGCCAACTCATATAATCATCCCTCAAATGTATATCTCAATAGCACGGTCTTGACATCTACCGAAGGCACAACGCAAGGTGATCCTCTAGCTTTGGCTTTGTACGTAATTGGGATAATCCCACTGATTGAGCTCCTGCAAAAACCAAATGTCATTAAAAAAAGGTACGCGGATGAGCGGATGATGGAAGCGCTGCAGGTGATCTTAGGAGTCTCCGCGCAAAACTGGACAACCTGGTTGTGCACGGAAAGGCTTTCGGATACAATCTGAAGCGTTCCAAGTGTTAACTCATAGTAAAAGAAAACCGTCGTGACAGCGCCATAAAATTATTCGAAGGCACAAATATTACAATGGTAGACGGTTTTAGAGTCCTTGGACTGGTTATAGGAATACCATCAGCATGCCATAATTACATGGAAAGCCAAATTGAAAAGACAGCTAACCTAACTGAAAAGCTTTCTAAAAAGCTAAAACATCACCACAAAATGCGTACTCCTGCTACACAAAGGGAGTTCAAAATAAATTAAGCTTTCTAACCAGAACAACTCCGGAAGAATTTAAGAAAATGGATGAAATAGAGAAAAATGTAAGACATCAGCTACTCCCTAGTATTACTGGTGAAAACCATATAACCGATGAAGATCCCAACCTTTTTGCACTACCACTAAGAATGAGAGGACTAGACATCCTCAGTAACACGGACTTATCCAGAAATTATGAGTGGTCACAAGCCCATTGTGTTCCGTTAAAAAACAGTGATCCAGAAATAGCTGAAACGGAACAAACTCTGATAAATAGAAACATCAAAACTGAGAGACAGAACATCACACTGTCAAAAAAGGCTAAAATTATGGAAAAAAGTCTAGCGTCACAGAAAGGAGCGTCGAATTGGCTAAGCGTGCTACCCTTGAAAAGATACAATTTTTCCCTCAACAAATCAGATTTTAAAGATATTACATCTGAGATATGGAAAAGAACCACCAAACACCCCACATACATGCCCATGTGGACAACCGTTCTTACTGACCCACTCTCTACACTGTCCCAAAGGTGGATACACTCGCCTAAGACAATGAAATTCGCGATACCTTTGCGACACTCCTGGACGAAGTACGCCTTGATGTTGAAATAGAGCCGAAGATTCAATCGTTGGAAGGCGAAAGCTTTCACAACAAAAAACCACTACTGAAGATGCCGCTCGACTTGTCATCAGGGCAAATGGAAGCTGGGGAGGCCGAATCAGCCGAAAATTTTTTGATGTAAAATTTTTCAACCCCCATGCTAAATCCTGCCCCAAAGCTATATGACGCCTACAAATATCATGAGAGTGTCAAAACATGAAAATACCAACAAAGAATTCTGGATGTGGAACACAGCAGCTTTGTTGCACTAACTTTTGCGTGTACCAGAGGAGCAGCACCAGGCTCTACAAAAATCATCAAGAAACTAGCGAGAAACTGAACGAATCATACTCGGACACAATAAACTTTATAAGAACAAAAACAAGTTTTGCACTGTTTGAGGAATGCATCCTCTGCCTTAGTGGGTGCAAAAATCTTAAAAATACATCCAACATGTACAATTTTATCTGTTCTTGCAAAAGCCTGCAATGTGTCAAAACATCAATCCGTTTCACACGATGTTAATTCTGAAACGACGAAAGACGTGACAATTAGTTAACACAAGTTACAAATACAATACGTAAAAACAGAGTACATAACAAGGGTCCTTCTAATCGGACATCCCCCCCCCCCAAGTCGTTGGAGGCGCAATAAACGCCTTGCTGGCACGGTGCGCCTTTAACGACTGACGCATACGAGGACCCTGATTTAGGATTTGTGATGAAGGCGCCTGTCGTCCATGCATCGTCACCCCCAAACTTGGGAGGCGGGCGGCGGATCCTCTTTGGTCTGCCTAAAACCGTATCGAGC